TGAAGAAGCAGCTCTTAATTTTCCAGGTTTGTTCAAACTTCCCACTTTGTTCATTTGGGTTTTTAAGGAAAGACATCATCTTTTTCACTTCCTTTCAGAGAGGAATGAAAGGGCTATGAATATCTCGGTGCTACTGTGATAAACATTTCAGAAATGCTCACAGGAAAGGTTTTACTCCCCTATTCCTTCTCCTTCCCATTCAGCCTAGCAGTCTGGCACTGAATGTCCTGAAAACTGAACTGCTCCAACTGGTGGGAATACCTTGGCAAATGCCCACTGTTTATTTCACCTCTTTAGGCAAGTAGTTGCCATCTCCTGGCATGCATCTTCATGAACTGTGTGATTTGCCACAAACTAGAGCTAGAGAGGAGTTAAAGAAAAAAAAATTCTGAAATAGGGAGCTGGTGTGGTTCAGGAACCAACTGTCCTGCAACCAGTAACGAGGCTTTTGCTTTAGGAACTTGAGTGGTCTGTCAGGTGACTGCTGTGTGGGTGGGATTTGGCGATATGAATTTTTCTGAGCATGGTGCTGCCAATCTAAAGATCAATTTTTTTAAATTTATTTTCAATTGACTAAAATGAGGTTTCGGTTTTTTGTATCTAATGTTGAGTCCTTCCTCTGTTCACGTATTGCTTGTTCCTGAGTGTTTGCTCCCGAGTGGGAGGATGACTGCTGGGAATGTGTATGTTACAAGTTACATGTCTTATGTCAGTTGAATTGTCTTTTTATCAGGTAACAAAACAATCAGTGCTGCAGTTGGACCCAAGCCTTGGTGCCTTCACCTTCAACAGGGGCTTTGTCTTTGCTTCTTAGTAGAAGCAGGATTTAGTACGTGCCAACAATGGCAAGTTCATCACATCATGTTGGTTCTTGGACAAAAAGTTTTTAATGAGCTGACTGGAGCTTCATAAACTATGAAAAAAGCAAACTCAATCTGCGAGTAGTGAAATCACTGAGCAAATGACTTGGGCTATCCTCCCAGCCTTGAGTTTCCTGCCTCTGAATACTCGACCAGGAGGGCTCTATGGCAGAAACTGCAAGTGCCCGTGTTAGGTCAATACCGTGGGATCTGCTCAGGGAACAGGCTTTCTTTTCACAATTGCAAATACTTATGGTGAAAACCCAATTCCAAGACTCTTCTCCCTCAGAAAATGGAAGCAAACACTGAAAACGAGGTGGTCATAGCTGCTCCTGCTGCAGTGAGGGTGGGAGCTCAGCAAGCCCTGGGAACAGCTGTGGGAATGAGAGCTGTACTCCCAAGTAGAACTGCATTGCTTCACTTTAGTTCATCAAATAGTCACCACTGTAATTTATAACAAAGTTTAGACCTCATGTTTTATGTACTTCTGTATAAATGTGTTTTCTGTAATATAATAGTTCATACGTTGCTCGCACTGGGCCACTGCCGTGGCAAGAGGAGGCCTGGGCCGGGGTG